TTAAAATTTTTTTTTTCTTTCACTGTTTTGTTTTCCGCAAGATGTCGCTTAGATATTTGATATATGATATCGAATAGTTTATACACTTTTGAAACTGACACAGCTTAACCAAATACTTTTCCTTGTAAGAGTTATCTCCCCGAACACTGTTTTTCTTGTTATTTCTAATACTTCGCAATTGTAGAAGAAACCGACAAATTTATTTTTCCCAATTGCTCATTATATCCTCATGCAGGATGTTTTGTTCAATTTTGACCGAAGTGCTGTAGAGATTCCATATGAGAGTTATTTCCCCTTCTGCATTTGTAACTAGCAAACCATAAGTGATAGAGACCTATGGTCTTTTAATTTAAGGTCCTTGGTCCATTTGAAAGAAAATGAGGTCAAGTTCATAGGTCAAGGTCATATTCTAGATTTTGAGTTTGGCTTGTTGTCACTTTATTTTCAGAAAACGTATAAGATATCGACAAAATATTTTTACAGAATTGTTAGTTGCGACATGTAACACATAAATTTTGGTTGAAAAGGTGCGTAGACATTTAATGGGAGTTTTCTCCCCTCTTATATTTGAAATTAGCTGTATGGTGATATAACAGAGACCTAGGGTCTTTTGATTTGAGGCCCTTGTTTTATGACCTTGAAATTGAGGTCAAGGTCAAAGTATGATTTGACGTCCAGATTTTTACCTTTGCTCTAACTCCTTACTGGTTCAAGATAAAGTCAAAGGGTCTTTTAAATTGGGTTTCAGATATATGACCTTGAAGGAGGTCACCCAGAAGTGACCTTTTGTAAACCGGAAGTAGCCCATTTGCATTATTTTCATGTACAATTTACTAGAACTTAAATTACTTTATATTTTTGGAATCATTGTGAAGTAAGGTTCAAATGTAACCAACCGGAAGTACCTACTTATCTCCTTTATTTTTAGCAAATGTATATAGAAACCATATATTTTCGGAATCAGCATAAATTGAACTATTATCTGACACCAGAATTGACATTTTAAACCAAATTGTATATTTTTCTGTCTAGATACTAGTATGTCTATTTGGGATGGAAAGACCTTCAATTGTTCTCTGAACAATTGTTTTTAATTATTCATTTTTTTTTCTAGGAGTTAAGCCCCTTTGAACTTAGAATTTTGACCTAAATATACTATTGCAACAGTTTGTCAGCACAACTCCTCTGAAACCACACAACAGAATTTCATAAACTTTTTAGTCAATGAGAAAATAATATGTAGATGTTCATATCCACAAGAAATTTTTATCAGTTTACTTTTGTTGGAGTTATAAGTCTTTGAACTTAGGAATCTGGTGAGATTTTGTTTGCCTAGTGACAATGTGGTGGTGTGGGGTATGTGAGCATGCTCACAAAGGTTCTTTAATTGATGTATACCCCACATATCATTTTATTCATATCTGTAAAAGTCCATTATTAGGTACAGGGGGAAACAATATCCATAAAAATGAGATGTGCCAATGCTAATACAACTGCATAACAAATATCATAGACCAACCACTAGTTGTTCCCCATAAACTGACCTAATCACAAACCAATACATGAAAACTAAGCAAACGTTTCAAAGCCAGTAGTCCATGACTGAGGGGGCAGGGCCAAATAATCTCCATAGAAATGAGATGTGACAATACTAATACAATAGCATATCAAATATCATTGACCTATTACTAGCGGTTCCCCATAAACTGACCTAATCACAAAATTAAATAATACAGTGTTGACGCTGCCACCGCCACCAGAAACAGCATACCTATGTCTAGCTATGTCAAAACCATTCATGTCATGTTTGACTTGAAATATTGCACTATTTCAAGATACAACCATTCTGGAATAGCTTACAAAGAATATTAGTTTAACAAAAATTCTAAAATGGCGATAACTTTATACAAAGGAGATGAAGTTCTGTAAAAAATAAACACCACTGAAGTGTTATTTCCCATCTCAGGGTTATGTAAGCATAAATCATTGCTATGCTCCTTTTTATTTCGCTATTAGATCTAAGAAATCTTTGTGGAATGTGACAGTAGTATTTGCTAGGTACCTTGACTTTTGAAGTAGTGACTTCAAAATCAATAAGAGTCTTGCATTTAAGTACATTATCCACTACAGACTGGTAAAGTTTTGATTCATAACTCAAAAGATATAGTCTGGAATAAAGTTTTCTCAAAATTTAAGTCTATTTATAGGTCACCATGACTATATATGTAACCCTGAAATCAAAAGGGGACAATATCAAATCAAGATTGGTTATAATTAGACATATGGTTTTAAAGATGACATCAGGAAACCAAAATGTTTGCCCAACTTTCAGTTTATTAGTAGCTGTTTTGACCTAGAACCATTAATCTGGTTCATGAACACAAAAATATATAGAGGTCTTCCTCATCTCATATAGCATGATCAAACCAAGTTTATTAAAGATATTGCTTATTGCTTATGGCTCACAAGATTTAATCAGGAAAACCTTAATGTTGACATCATGACCCCCTCAAGTCCAGGCAGCATTCTTTACATTGTAAGCCAAATCATACAAAAACCATGATAAAAAACTTTAGTTTTAAGCAGTGAAAAACAATGTTGGGGATAAGAGACATATGCAGGATTGGTATTTCAGACATAAGGCACGATACATTTATTACCCAGCTCTTTTACCTTCTGAAATATAAAGCTCTATACAAATAGATAATGATGCTGTCTCCTCCCTGTTAGTTTTCCTATGAGTAGAATTTTGCAACATCCTTTTCTGGTTAAGACAATAAAACTGCATGTATAAAACTTAGAAAAGCTGGTATAAAGTTTGGCAAATAATATAATGTATAACTGAACTTTTCATTAAATTTTCTCAATCTGAAACAATGAACCACAAGTGATCAAATAATGTTGATACGGGTACTTGTCAGACTGAAATCTAGACCCTATGAGGTAAAGACTTTAAATGTAATAATGACATTATCATGGAAAATCAACATAGATCAATGAACCATGAAAATAGTTTAATAGATATAGGAAGATGTGGTATGAGTGCCATTGAGACAACTTTCCATCCAAGTTACAATTTATAAAAGTAAACCATTATAGGTCAAGGTACTGCCTTCAACACGGAGCATTGGCTCACACCGAACAACAAGCTATAAAGGGCCCCAAAAAATTACTAGTGTAAAACCATTCAAACGGAAACACCAATGGTCTAATCTATATTAAAAACGAGAAATGAGAAACACGTATGAACTACATAAACAGACGACAACTGCTGTAATCAGATTCCTTAACCCATTTACTCTTTTCATAAACAAATAATTGTAGCAACTAAAAACCGCATCAATGCATGGAAACAATGTGACCCTGAGATGGACCAAATATCATTCTAATTTTATTTATTCTAACACCATATTTTTTTAAAAGGCAACATATTTTGAGCGTGTAAAATCCATGGTGTACTTGTCTGTAACTGAGGGACATCGCCATTTTAAATTCAGGAATTTATTGGTATGCAATTTCAGTGGACATTGTTTGTCAGGCGGACTCTTTCGACAAATTTCAATCTAGAACTTTCATATTATGCAGGGTATTAGAAGTTTCGTTAACTTTTCCACAAATGTTGAACTTTAGGTGAAATTATGCATATATTGGTGGTTCAACTAACTCCCATTTTTCTAGCTAGAACTTTTTTAATTAAGAATAAATAGAGAATGTGTCCATGGGACAAAGATGATGCCCACCTGCATACAACGTTATACAGAGGAATAACTAGAGAACGGTAAAAGTGACAACACCCAAATTCGAACTTGATCTGGGTTTTGTGGTAATGAGCATTGTGTAGAAGTTTCATAACATTTGGCTGAGGCAAACTAAAGTTAGAGAACGGAAACCAATTTCCCCGGACGTACAAGGTTAACACTTAATGCCCCCTCCAGCGATGGCAGGGGCAAAAAAATATATGCATGGTAATAGTACTTATATAAAGTATGTGCTTATTGTCAAAATTTTCCACAAATGTTGAACTTCTGTATTTTTGGGGTGGGGGGAAAAATTGCTTCACCATAGTGAAATAACCACCACACTGTATAATATAGAGGAATCAATTGTGCATCACAATATATCATTGTGGTACGATTGTCAAAGCCCATTGTTCCTGTAATAATGTTCAGATTAAAATGAGAGTTTAATATGGTAAACTACACAAATACATGGCAAATAATACTACCAAGTATGAGAGATTTCTGTGAAAGTCTTTGGAGTTGGTGTAAATATAGATTAACAAAAAGTCTTACAACACCCATTTAAATAGTTAATTGGCAGTCTCAATTGTTGGTGATTAATTCCACTTTCAGCCCCATTGGCTATATCATTGCGGTCAGGTTTTTTTTATTGGAGGAAGTCAGAGTGCCTTTTGAGAACCACAGACCTTTCAAAGAAAAAGTAACAATCCTAGTCAATTAAGGTTGGATTGGAACACACCTGCCATGTGTGGGTTCGAACTCACAACCTCCGTGTCAAGAGACTAGTGATACAGAAGATGAACTATTTAGACCACTCAGTTCCCCAGATTAGCTGTAAAATATGGTCAACTACACACAAAGGCAAACAATAGTACCAAGTATAGTTTCCTGTCAAATGGTCTCAGAGGAGTTCTGTTCACAAGGCGTTATTGTCACAAAACTAAAGAAAAATAGTCCAAGTCCAACTCTTGTAATATTTTTCCAATCAAACTGATATGGCCAAGCAAATGACGGCAAATCATCCTACCGAGTGTGAGAACTTTCTGACATACAGTTTGAGTATTGATGTGTTTCAGACAGACAGAGACAATAACCATTTAGATGCTGGATACATGGGTTTTTCTAGCTTACTCCTCTTACAGATTTCCCTACATTAGGGAATAAATCATTACTATTATGGGGGAATCAATCGTGTCCATCAGACCACCATTTCAAACTGTACCATCTAAGTTCTGGATATTTTATAACAACAGACTCAAATTTATATTTTATACATTTATTACAAATGATATATATGAGAATTTTGAGTTCCGTGGGAACAGGTAAAAATAAATAAAACAACATTAGAGGTAAGGAGTAACAACAATAGTAAGCAACTACACACATTTGTCTACACATCATTTGTCTACACATCATTCTGCCATCATGGTATCACAGATGACTGGTATCACATCTTCATATTATTCCTCTCACTTAAAATTTGTTCTACCGAAACATATATCTTCATTGTAATACTTTCTCTCATATTCATCACAGATTTCTATTTATATTAATCTAAATTTTAATCCTATTTGTGCATATTTTTCTCTAGTGATACAAACACATAAAGCAGATAATGCATGGCTTTTGTTTTCTCCTAAGTTTGCAAATGTTAGATTGTTTCACCATTTCTATAAATAACCCACTAATATTAAAATGCTAAGACTCTACTAAAACAAAAACATATATCTAGTTAACACAAGTCATTTTTAGCTGTTCACATGGTTTCCTTAAATTTGTAATTTTCCAACATGATTTGTTAACTTGCTTGACTGTTTTATTTCATAATGATTCTTCCCAATAGAAACTGTAGAATATCATCATTTACAGATAATGACTTGTGTGAAATAGATATGGAAACAAGGCAGAAGAAAAACAGAAATAAATATAAATAAGTTAAAACAAATAAAAAACAACTAACAAAGTTCACTAGAATAGTGAACTTGTTCTACTTTTATCTAAAATTGACATATTTCCCTTCCTTGCAGCTCTGATGACATGTGCTCACAAGTTCAAATATCAACAACTTTTCCATCCACATCAAATATTTCTCCAATACATCTACTAAGAGTACATAGCACTGAGTGTACCTAAAACTTAAAAGATGAGGATATAAAGAGAGTGAGAAAAAGATTAGAACTTGAGTAATCCCCCTTTTTTATAATTACAACCCCTTGTGATATAATGTACAGCATTTACAATTCCAGTGGCCAAAACCCCTCCTTTCCATTTATCTATCATTAAACTCTCAAATCACCCAATTGTGAAACTGAATTTTAGTTATTATGACTATATTGTCCTTCAAACTGACTAGTTATGATGAACGGCCAACAATCAAAAGAAATTTAGAGAATTTCAATGTGCATTTGCTCTGACACTCAAAATATCTAGTGAAAATTAAGTTTTACAATACATATCACAACATTTAAAACATGTTTCACTTCAATTACACACATGCATACACACTGACACACATACATACATACTTATACACGTCTTACATCCAGCTGTGTAGGTAATAGCACCTTATCAGCATAAAACACACACACTTCAGCACACTGGTATGAATAAATAATATATATATGAATATGATAAATATTTTAATTCTCTCTTTCACTTTCCTGTACAGGGGCTTTAATATACAAGGCATGTTAAAATGTCCATGGATGAATTGAGCACTTTGAGCTGCCAAACATGGCAAACTTTTTCAACAATGATTAATAAAACATTAAAATAGAATGTTAAAAGTCAGAGGATAGGGAAGAAAAAAGATAAAGCTAGAAAAATCTTCAGAATTTCAATGGTCGGAAACCAGGACGGTTGGTCTTCTCTCCTGCCCAAGACTTGGACTTGATTCTGAAGTGTCTGAGATCGTCGGAATGGTCTTTATGTAGCATGGGTTTGTAACTTATGGGATCACAGTATTCCTGTAAAAGAAAAGGACAATTTAATAACAGAAAACAAAATAAGATTTCTAGAATAAAAGTTTTCTTTAGCATAATATTTGTTGTATGTCTTCTTAAAATTGTTATAAAACAACTACACTACTAAAATTTATTTCAAGCTAAATTTACTGCCATATCTAATACCTATTATAAATCATACATTTTTTTAACATTGATTTTTTACTATACTTGTACTGTAATATACATTCTTACGATCGTAAATAGTGTATATATTCAAGATTGTTGTTGTACACTATAAGAGGTTGATTAAATAAGTTTTTTTAAAAACATAATTGGAATGTACTGTTTACCTCTTGATTTGATATCTTATGAATTAAAATTTTACCCTTGCAATGAATGAAGGTACCTAAATGTAGGAAGTAAAATGGTGAAATTCTTACCGAAAACTGTTCATAGAACACCTTGTAGCCTCCTTCTAATAAATACACCTCTGGGTAATGTAAGGCGGGGTAACATTCTTTGTTAGCATGTCTGTCTTGTTGACGCAAAAATCTGGACCTAAAAAAATCAAATAACTAGTAAAGTAAATGAAATGTTGGAAAGTTAGTAAAATTCAGCAAATAGGTCATTTTACAATGTATCAAGTTAATTTTTCATAACTATTCAGTCTTTCATAAAAAGATGGATGTGTGCTTAATGTACAGCAGGCTGTCTATCAACCACATTTAAGACAAGAAAGCATCCAAACAGTATGAACCATGTATTTATTAAACCATTTTACAGAGATAACAGTTGGTAAGAAGAATTATAGCCTTATTCAGTCACATTATTCTGACCACAAGCTGGCAAATATTTGCTCCTACTACTAATTGTAGTAGTAGGCTTCACATCAAAAACAGCAAAATACCAAATTCGAGTTTTGTCCTTGACCTGGCTCGGGGATCAATTCAAATTTCTAAGGCAAACATCCAACCTAGAGAAAACTGTAAAGATTAATCCTATTAATGCTTTAATACTCATTGATCTAACTGGATAAGATTTGGAAAAAATATGACTGAAATTTGGACAGTGGTTTCAACTTGACAGTAACTATAATATAATAAAAGGTTTCTATAGATCTGCTGTTCACCAAAACTTACAAATTGGGTCCTCTTTCTGAAGAAAATTCACAGTGGAAGATGAGAATGTTTCTTTTTTCTGGATCTTCTGGTTGTGTAGGATTCCTCAAGAACTCTTCTGTTATAGATTCTCTGGTGTAGATATTCTTAGCTCCCTGAAAAAAAATATGTATATATTAATATACATTCAATGATCAATTTGCTACTAAAAACAAAATAGATACCAAAATAAAATGATGTATACCAATAATCAATATCTGCATCATAAATTCATAGACCATTAAATTTCATTTTTTTTTTAAATATTGTGTGCTCATGACTGAAACTGAGCAATTTCTTATGGATTTTGCTCTTGTATGAAAGCTATATAGTATATTTCATAAGTAATGCAATATTTGGGTGTTCATAACAAATTTGTTACCTTATCTCTAGATCTAATTATTAAATTTGTTCTTGTCCTGAATATGCATGAAGTATTTGTCAATGAATGTTATCAATTTGCAATCAAATTATTTTATATGTGTCACAATGAATATATATTTATTGCAGAAATTAAACTATAAATACTTACTCTTATGTGACCTCCTTGGTATTCGTATGGATAACGACAGTCTATGATTATGAACTTTTCTATAACGTGGGAATATTCATTGTCTAATAGCTGACGTACCTGCAATTCATATATAAATATATTTAATTTCCTTTAATACTCAATAACATGTTATATTTAATATAATCATCTTCTTCTAACAAATTTGTAGAACTTTATTAATCCTCACCAACTCATTATAGCATTAGTTATACAAGTAGGACTCAGGAAAGAAACGAACTTTATAAACAAAAAAATACTCCCCCATTGTTCTATCTAGCCAAGTTAATTCAAAAATGACATAGCCTCTTGGCCAATATGTCTTATAAGATAATGTAAATTGTGTACAATGTTGATTCATATGCACATCTAGTCACAGTTGTAAACAGAACAATTCACTATAAACAGGAGAAATTTTTATCTAAATTGTTTAGCGAATCAATAAAAATAAGATTTTATACTTTCATATTTTGAAATTAAAATATCCTTTTCATTTCTACAAGATTTTTAGACTTCAACTTAAACAATGAATTTTTTAATGTGACCTACTGTTTCTGATGATATGGACTTGAGATCTTGTTTTTTGCCTGGAATGACGGGTAATGAATAAGGTTTGGAACAATCAGCAATCAGATCTGGTTCGTCATATATTTTGTTGAGAGCCATCTTGATCATGGCATCTGTCTCGGAATGACATCTGTGTAACCTTGGCAATGGCATACTCTGAAATAAGCAATCATTATTGTAATACTAAAGTATCATGTCAAAACAAGGTTAAAATGATTGGTGATAGAAAATTTATACTGGTAGGCAAAATATCAATAAATCAAAAGTAACAGGAAGGGTTTCTATTGCCAACTTGTTTACTTCTGCTGCCCCCCGAAAAAATTAACTCTAACAAAAAGTCTCCAAGTACAACTTCTAAATCATTAGCAGTTCTGTATGATTGATAGATGGTTGCTTAAGGTTCAGATGCACATTATACAGAACATGAATCATGTAGTAGGGTTTGAAAAGATGATCAATTTGGAAATCAGATATTGTAGTCCAGTGATTGTTATGTTTTTTCTGTGCTTCTTGTTTTTTGTTTATTGTTATATGGCTGAAAGATGTCTAATTTTTTCACATCTGGTTAAAATGCATTGGTTGCCCATTGTTGAAGACAGCATAATGACCTGAAGATACACAGATTTTTACTTTTAACAACTGTTTGTCTTTAAGGGAGGTTGGTTGTCTTGTTGACAATTGTCACACTTTTTTTTGGCACTTTGACTATTAGTGAATACTTGTCGGATACTTGATTGAATCAGTATCATTGCTTCATTAGAATCCATTAACACATCTCATTGTTGTTGAGGTTACAAAGTCTTTTTTTTTAAATTATTTTTAACTTAAGTACAGAATATGTGAAATTTTTCTAGGCTGCATCTTTTTTTACTTTGTTAATTAATTAATCTTTATAATGCTACTGATTTCAAGTTCACCTTCATCGACATTTGCTCAATAGCTCAATTTTATAACTGAAACTAAACTATTAGTTGCTATTTACCTTGGTCTCTTTCACTTCATCTTCATCAACAGCAAAGGATTTGCGTCTTTTACTCTGCTGGTGTGGTGTTGAGTCGTCACTTGCAGGAAAACGTTTGTTGCGACCTCTGACATCAAACGATTGAGACCTGTTGAAAAGTGATCTACTTCTTCGCAACTGCAAGTATTAACATTATTTTAAAAATAATAAAATTTATATTGTACGTGAAAACAGTTGCAATTTTATAAGTTGACACCATGCTTAACATAAAAAACATTATAGCAACTACTGTAAAACTGTTTATATTCTTTTTGTACTGTCCATCTTTCAAACCATTACAGCACCGTTGGTTAAAGAGCTACAAAACTTAGGATTTGTTTTGCCTTTTCATTTAACTCAAATTTTGAACACCCAAGGGAATGCTAAATATACAAAATGGACCCCTTTTCTCAGACTTAAGGTGTCCAATTGGCCAAATGTAGCCATGAAGCCACATAATTTGGGAATGGTTCAGTTTAATCCAATGCCAATATACTGAAAGTGCCAGGCTCTGTATGTCAAAGAACTTTTAAAAAAAAACCTTTTGAGGGATTAAAACTAGCATAGAGCATAACATGAAAGATTTAATTATTTAACAACCAATTAATCACAGATTCTGTCCTATCAGTAAATTAAAACCATTGCAATGCAGTCGCCAAAACTTATATCTTCGAAATATATTTTTTGAAATATTGAATTTAATTAGGATTTGAAATCTTGATTAAGGAATATTATCAATTTTACAAACAAATTTATTCATGAAAACATTATCAAACCTTTGGTGTTTCCTCGTCAGTTACTTGGGTCTGACTGGGTACAGGTGCACTAAACAACTTTCCAAAACTGTCTGAAACCTATATCAAATATAATTAGATACAAATTATTTTTACACCAGTTTATAATAACTATATTTCAAATCAAAAAGAAGAAATTGAATGTTATGGTCATAAATTAAGTAAAAGAGAATACAAATTTTTTTTAACTTAGATTTTTTATCATTTTCAATTGGGTAGTTTTTATAAAAATCACTTTTGTGCCCAAATCTGAAGTGACTTTCCATTTCATTTTTAACATGTAAAATGTTCCAGGGAAAAATTCTCTGTACTTTGGTATTCTTCATTTAACAAATAATTTTACACCAGCATAAAGGGATAGTGTTGATTTTTTGTGGAGTTGTAAAGCCTAGCTTGTTCTTTTTAGCTCAGATTTCTGTTTTCTATACTGTGTGCCTCACAAACAATGGACAAATTTAAATGATAAACCCTAAAATAAATTACAACTCTTTAGTGTGTCATATTATATGTTTATGTTAGGCCATATGGAATGAGATTCATGATTCTCAATAGGGCTACTACAGTCCCCTTGCATGTGCAATGCTGGGGTCAACTAATCTGTATTAAGATTTAATGGATATAAATTAAAAGTATCCAATGTTTTACCTTAAAAAGATCACTTGAATTGACAAAATTTGAATAGATAAATCAAATGTTATAAAAGATATACAAACCTTTGGTACATAATCTTCACATTCTGGGGTTTGGCTTAGAACTGGTGCATTAAACAACTTGGCCATTGTGTCAGGTACTCCTGATGACTAAAAAAAAAAGATCAAAAATAGTGTGAAATCTTTGTAACTTGAGATACAGTGACTAAATATTGGTTTATTTAGTCTTAATCTATCAATCACATCTTTCTTTTTTTGTTAATTTAATCATTTGTACTGCTTTTGTTATGTGTATGGAAAGGATTTATATTTTCAACTTTTAAGTGTGCTTTAATAAATCAGATACAAGACTGTTACAATACTAAAGTGTTCAGCTGCATAGCTGCTGGAAAACCTTTTTGTTCATATGCACAAACTTTATACCATAACTTTCAATGCAAGGTTTTCTTCCTTGTACGCAGCACAGCTACTTGAAGTGATGAAAAATCGTGTCAAATGTTAAAGTTAGAGAGCAGAAACAATTTTTGACAGACATGTTGAGTACTATAGACATTCTTCTGATATTTTGACAGCCCTAATAACATTTTTTTTTATCAACTCAATGATTACACAGAGGGTGTATAGTTTAAAAATTACAGCAATTATTATGACCAACTTTACTTGATCAGACTTGAAAATGGAATACATGGCTAAAAGTACTTGCAGTATTAACACTACAAAATGTTTTCTAACCATGTAATGTGATTAAAGGAATAAAATATATTGTGGATCTAGTTATATACCTCAGAATTGTCTTCGTGGTCTATCAAGTCTAGAAAACCATCATCAACATCTTCTTCATCAAAACTAGCCAATGGACACATCTTAAGTGGACTATCTGACTGGAACATGGCTTTACTATCTGAGAATTTCTGAAACAATAAAATATATTTATACATAATGTTCCCAAGCTTGCTGAGAATCATAGTAGCTTTCATAGGCATGCTGGAATACATTATCATCAAGGTTCTCATAAAATGATTTCAAGATTCTAGAACTCATAATCAGTCTCTAAACTTATTAAAAAATGCATATAAATTGCATCAAAAGAGTCAGGTCATGCCAGTCATCATTATTTCTTTGCAAATGTTGCCCTCTATATGATATAGCGGTTTTTGTATTTTGCTAATTGTCTCATTGAAATATACCCTACATCACAAAAACATCAATAGGATTGAAAATATCAGTGTTCAACAGAACAAACTTTTAACTATGGCTATAAAATTATTTATTTTATGTCACACATTCAGGAAGCACTACTTACTAGACCTGAGAATGACTTTGGTCTGACCCTGGACGGAGAACTTTTGACTGGAGAGTACTTCAAGGGGGAACATGTATCTTCACTAATGATCTTTAACTTGCTACGTTTTGGTACACCAACGGGTGCAGCAAATTCAAAATCCTAAAATATAAAATTAACAATATGACTTACTATGTTTTGGAACACAAATAAAGTTTACATTTAGCAAATTGAAAGCTATCAGAAAATATGCACTAATTATTAGTTTTACTTGAATTCTAGCCAATGAAAAACTATGGTTTTATGAATGTTATAATCATATATGTTGAAAACTTGCTTATTATCCCTGTGTGAGTGTGTGTTTGTTGCGTAGACATTCTGTATTGCACACATACATATATGTAACTAACAAATGTTTAAGAGTTATGTAGATGCTATTATGGCTTGGACACTTGTCTATACTTTTTTTTCCAAATCATATGTCCCTTTTAGTTATATTGTGTGGCTTGGTTGCTCTCATTTATGTTTATTACACAACACATTGTATTCCCATCCCATACATACCCTGCTGTCAAGACAAAGACCACTGTCTTGTGAACTGTTTTCTTCAATAAAGAAAACTGGTCTGTGGTTGTCTGGGAGACCAGAGTCAGGTGACATTGGACTGTCATTGTCGGCTGCTGTGACTGTATTTTCTTTGTCCTGGAAGTCAACAGGACTCAGTCTCATCATAGGTGGCTGTAATACAGGAAACATATGTAGACATATTGTAACTAAGGACAATGTAAAATTACAAAGAAGTGTCTATGATCATACTAAAAATCAAAATGTAATCTGCAGAAAAAAGGAATGTATATAGATATAAGAAGATGTTGTACGAGTGCCAATGAGACAACTCTCCATCCAAGTCACAATTTGTAAAAGTAAACCATTATAGGTCAAAGTACGGCCTTCAACACGGAGCCTTGGCTCACACTGAACAGCAAGCTATAAGGGACCCAAAAATGACTAGTGTAAAACCATTCAAACAGGAAAACCAACGGTCTAATCTATTTAAAAAACAAGAAACGAGAAACATTTATGAACCACATCAACCAAAGACAACCACTGAAAATTAGGTATATGCATTTTAAACCATTTCCTAAACATTAGTTTCTGCACTTACCGGTAACGACTGTATTCTTCTGAAAGCTATGGTCTTCTTCCTACACAGAGGATAAAATATAAAATCATAAAAATGCATAGACATTCTAAACTCTTATCTCATTGATTTCAAAACTGAATTTGTGTCTTACTGTTGACAATCATATTTTATATACTTTCCACAACTGATTTGTACTCGTATGTCTCGTCTCAAAATTCAACACCTCACATTTCTATTTGCAAGAGAAAGACTCAGTCTGTAAAAACAATATCTTGTAAAATCTAAAAATTATTGCTCATAATTATGGATACCTGTGAAACATAATTACTATGTAGGTAATTAAATCTAAAATAATTCCACACTTCAACCAAGTACTGATCAGACTAAAATAACTAACTCATTGACTCAAACTAACAGAGGTGTAAAACAATTAGCAGGTAATTTGTTCATGAAATTTAACTTTTTTAAATTCATTTGAGGTGTTTGCCAAGACATGTTTTACCTAAGATAAATCTGGTGTTATGTATAAACATGTAAGCACTCAAAGGAATTAAAAATTTATTTTATTGCTGGATTACTAAATTAAAGTTTAGTTTATCTTGTCCTGTGGTGTCACATAATGACTCATTTAACATTAAATTTTTAGCAGATAGATTTTCAATCAATGAATCAATTGTTGTCCTGTAATAAAAAAAACCTTTGCATTGTCTTTCATAAAATGTTTCTTGTACTGAACTATATCTGGACAAAAAGTAAAAATTTTGTTCTGTTGAAATACAAGGATGGTTGCTAAAATCAATCATTCAATAATTTAAGGGTCAGAGACAAAGGCCAGGCTGCAGAAACTATTTATTACTTTTAATTTTTAAAGGCCATATGAGGGTAATGGCACTAGTCATGGGGAGCATCTATTTGAATGATAGAAAAAAGCCATAAAATTCATGATTTCTTCAAATTAGAAAAAGCCAAGGAAAACAGGTCTTTAAAGCTTTATATAAACATAAAAATCTCCATATGAGTGCAAAGAATTTGGATCTTGAATGTTTGTATTTAAACATTCCAGAAAGTTGGAAAGTTGACACAAGGAAATAATGCAAAAATTCTAATTGTGCACAAAAGTAGTTGATTATACAAAAGAGGTTGAGGTACACTTTCCTCCTCTCTGCCATTCACAGAACTTTGTATAAGCTGAATTTGCACAAGGTTTTAAGGGTAGATTTTATCTGTATTTAGGTTTTTTCGGTTGTTTTCATTATTTTTTAATTGTTTTTTCTCAGTTCTGGTGGTTTATCAAGAGCAACTCTTCCAACATTCTGTATTGGTAATTTCAATAGATGGAACATTATTTCAGAGTGGGTATTTTGTGAGAATTTTTGTTATAAATACAAATATAAACTATATTTTACTTACTTAGTAAATGCTTCTGCAGGTATCTCTGGCTTGATTGATGATGCAAACCTCTGAAGGCTGTGAGAAAAAATATATAAAACAACACTTTTAAAAACCAGTGTTTAATTTTACTAGGGTTCTTAATATCAAATTTTCTGTTGAACAAAACTAATCAAAGTTGTACAAAATTATGGAAATGTTCAACATGAAGATATATCCAACAAAGATACCTGTAAACCACAGTTCTATTTGACGTAAAAGAAACATGTTTCAGTATGTTACTAAAAAGGGTTTTTTGTTGAAAAAAATATATACCTTTCCACATGATGGTCATCAGATAAATGACCCAGAATTAATCGATATAAACAATTTTTTAATTGTTGCCTTAGTATGTGTACAAAATAAAAACATTTGATCTTGAAGACTAGGAGAAACCAAATAGAATTTTATAGACCCCCTGATAATTGGTACACTGAAAAAAACAAACTGATATTTATAATAAAATTCCTGTGTAAACGATAGGTATACCAAATATAGAACAAAACCCAACCAGTAATCAATATATACGAGGGGGGTTATCCTAAACTTTCAAATGATTTTTTTCAATTCGAAACAAAGAGAAAAATTTCCAATCTTACTTTATTTTCTCTATATTGTTTCATGACCTTTAAATTTATATCTTATTCAGGGTAACTTTAACATGAAAAAATAATTATAAATGCATATCTAATTAACAGTCTGAATAAAACAGGACTGAATTTCCGAAACATTTATTCTGAATACATTTTTGTTAATTAAACTTTTAAAGTCGATTGAATATTCCTTTTTATTTGTCCTTTTATTATAATTTTTTTTTTAAATAATTATCTTCACAAAATTACTATACTTTTAAAGTTCTTCCTTCTTAAAAACAATTTTTCAACAAAAGGCCCTTTAACCTTTTAACTCAATTAACTTGAATATGTTCATTTAAAAAAAAATGTCTTGCTAAAATCAGAAATCCAGTAAGAAACTAATAAGAACATATTTTTATATGCTTTAATTCATTATTACAAAGTTACAACTAACAAATGATGCAAAATGTAATTTTGTAATTTTAAAAACAAAAATACCCTACCTCCAACTGGGGCTGCTTAAAATAGCTGTTGCCATTGTATTATCAGGAAAAGGTGATGTTGACAGTATAACAGACAGGTGTAGAATGATGGAGAAAACTAATTTACAGGTAGTAATTAGTAACCTATGTTAATTAGAGGATGCTGACATTACACAACAGGTAGCCAGATCAAAGGAGCAAATCTCTCAGTAGTCCTATGGTTTTATGACTAAAGGTACTGAACCTGGGCCATAAATATCATCTAATAAACACCTAGGGGCTACTGAGATCTTAAGGTGTGATGGGCCCTAATTAACATCCTGTGCCTCAGAACCTTTTCAAGTGTGAGATATGAGTGTTTGGTAAGGTATTGTAAGATGTCACACCTTGGCAGGTAACTTTACCTGTGAAAATTAACACATGTTCCATATAGCACAAACAAGGAACTTCCTCACCAAATATGCTGCCATTTACAGGAGCATTACCTTAATCCTTGATTTCCTCAGCTGTAAGCTATTGCTATTTAGTCTACCTTTATTCTAAAATATTTTTTTTTTCTTTTCACTTTAAACTACAGTACCATTATATAACAAATTATCTTTATATATATAATTTAATAAGATTTTGTCCATATTTTTTTTTTATCAACCATGCATTGAATGTGATGTGGAAATGAACTAGGTAACAATGAATAACTATTTTTTGGCTGAAGTGGTTACAACTATTTTATTGACTTTTATCACTATAATCTTAGAAAGTAAACAACCTATCTTTGGTTTGCAGATAAAAATCAAGTCTTCTTATCAACAAACAAGGAATGTCTTTGTTTATTTTATCTGGACCATTGGAAATATACAATTCATACATATTTATTATACATGTACAATACACAAGTTTCAGGAAATAATATTCATCTCATAATGAAAGTTATTCTTATACATACAATTTACATAACATGCTAAAATGGGATTCGTTTCAATATAATTGAATTGAATGTATGTGACTTTAAATAAAAATTCAAATTTAATTTACCCAATATATTTATCTATCTGACCAATGAAAACCCTTCTTTTGTTCAAATAAACAAACAAGATTAATAAGGTTTGCCTCTCAGGTGTTTTTTGTTTAGATAACAATTTTAATAATCTTATTAGCACTTAATTAAATTTACAGGTTGCTTTTTAAATAATAAATATTCAGTATTCATAACAATAAATGAATTAATCTGTTTTAACAAACACCATTCCTTAGTAGATTGTTCTTGTTATATTTGAGGTATGTTTGATATTAGGTGAAAATTTCCACAGTAGGCCTCTAACATGTGGGTTTTGTTAAGAGAACTAATAAGATAAGCTTCATGTTGTTTCTCAAATTACCTTGACCTTAATTGAGTTACCTAATATAGGTGTAACTTAATTCTGAACACTGTAATACTATTACCACTTATTTATACTGAGGTTTTCTATAAAAAAGCTTTTGTTTAATGCTCTGATACCTTCAAAGAATAAATCCATTTAATTTTAAAAAATAAGATTCTTTGCTTGAAATACAATATATATATATTAATAACTAAAAAGACATGTATTTAATGACTTCTCCAATACTTGTGCATTATTTTAAACTTGAATAAAAGAACAACTCAAATACAGAGACTCTTCTTCAAAATGAACATATTTCAAATACAACATATTACAAATGACCATAAAATATCTGATTTTCAAAGCTGTTTGACTACTTTTTTTTATATAAATTGACATGTTCAGTCTAAATTTGATTTAAAGTATAACAGCTTGGGTTTATTTGAATGACTGAACAAAAGAAAGTTTTTTATAATCTACAAGATTTCTAGCCCCAGAGAACTTGTACAGAAGCTGTGAACACACAGGTAACCAGGTCATGGTCTGATCGGTTATTGATCACCAAATCAATCATTTGATCAGCAGGTGCCCCATCTATTTACTAATTATCATTATGTAATGACTATATATTTTATCATCCACTTGTCAGACATATTTTATAGCCTTCTATTCACTTATGTCTATAATCAAAAATATAACCAATGGTTATCTTGGGAAAAAAAAAAACCCCAAAATCTCTTGACCACCATTCCTTCAACTTTTACTAACTACAAAATGCCTGCATAACCAAGAGAAATAAAGCAAAAAATAAGCCTGTGCAAATTTATTTAAAAATATTAGAACATGAATAAACAACAGAAGCTATTGATAACATTTTATCCAATAAAGTAACTTTAAATTCAATTGTAACTTTTAGGACAGCAGATGGAGTCATTTGTGAATGAATTATAGTCATTTAAGGTGAATATCTCTTGATTTTGTACCTGAACAGATGGTAAAGTATGAATGGAAAAATGTTTAAGGTGAACGTACCCATACAAAGAACAATACAAATTTCTGCATAGTCAGGCAGATGCAACAGCTGAATATTTCTGCTGATGTTTGAGATATGAATAAAATCTCTATTCTCCAATCAATTCCTAGTGTTGCAGATGAGATAGCTGCAGTCAAATGAACAAATTTCAATAAGAGCTTGTCAGCAAGGATCAATATGCTATGAATGCATATCATTTTGAAATTTAAATCAATGAGATACTCGGAAGAACTCTTTTTTCCCTTTCATGTAACTTTATTTCAACAAAGCCATTTTGCATAATAAAAACAACCTCAACAAAAGTTTCTTACACACAAAGCCCTCAAAATCAGAAATAAAAACCACCTCCAACCTCAATCAAAGACAACAAATATCTGTAATCTTCAACCTGCACTTGAATTCTTGAGAGACCATCTTTTATTTTCTGTTACCCTATCCCTAAAACAATACATGGGATGGTCAATAATCAAAATTGAACTTGTTCAACATTTACAACAAAAGATTACTACATTCAGTGTTACAGTATTGATTGTCATTCATCTTTTACCCATTATAATCTTCTCATCTTTAAAAAAAAACAAGAAAATAAGCTTGCCAACTATTAAAATTCTCTCCATATTTAAACACTCCAATAATTACTATAAAGATAAACTTATGTCAGTATTGTAACTTGTCAATAAATAAATCCTAACAATAATCGCAGCTTTGGGTCATAAAATTTTAATATAACAATTTATAGGAAAATTTCATTCATCAGTCAGGAGTTGAAAAAAGAAATGTTATTTTTTTGTAGAAGCGGATTGATATGCTTTTGAGCTGTGACAAGATGATCCTGCAGCCTCACCCATGCTGACAGACAATAGACTGATACACACCACCCCAGACAGGACATGACAATGTACTAATACACACATACTGTTCATGACAATATATTCCTATGTAATAGGTCTGACACCAAAGCCATCCTACTGTTTGACAATGTTTCTGACATTTTATCCCAGTATGACAATACATTGTATTTTTGTAGTACATCTGTTTTCTCTTTGTTTTGTTTTGCCCACTACTTGTCATGAAGGTAAATTACAATTTAGTAAGTGATCTGCAATAGATGAGGCCTCAAATATTTCCCCAAAATTCCAACTCTGATTACAAAAAAAAATTCTGATTTGTACATACAATTCATGTGGAATACAATTATATCCTAACATGACTAAGAAGATAATTGCTACTTTTCCATGTTTATTACAAAACCAACAACAGATCAAAACTTCACTTTTTGACTAAAACATATATTTTATTTCAGAAGAATCCACGCTATATTTAAGAGTCTCATTTTTTTCAAAATTCACAATTGAAATAGAATTTCTCAAGATGATTTGCAATTTAATCTAATTACAAGTTATAAATTCTATTAACTTACTGTTTATTTAAGATTAACCTTATTTTTTTAAATAAATACATTTAAAATATTTTTGATCCTGTTCAACTTAACTTTATACAAGATTAGTGATCTGTTGTTTGTATTTGGACTAAATCTGTAGATACTCCCTAGATTAAGGCCTTGGTAAAGTCAGGATTTTATGGTTTTATGAGATTTGGAATGACCATTCATTACATCATTATCCTGTCATAAAGCAAACCTGTACACAACACTAATGTTTCTACTAATGCCTTTAATTATAGGCTGTCAGTCAAATTAATTAGATCATTATATCCAAAACTACATGGGGGCCTCTTGTCTTGTATAAGATAAATGTTTCTTACCTCATTTCTAATGTGGGTGAATCCAGTGGTGTAGGAGAGTCCATGAAACATCCTAAAAAGATACCATAGATTGAAGCTTATCACATGCCATATCATTTAAAACTAATATAAAATACAATTACAGACACAACTTAACATAATGTATATATAAGTATAGCTATCTTACCATAGTTATGTAAATCTAGTTCCTGACACAATAACATTTCAACTCTTTTGAGAATATAAAAATCAGCGGTGTTGTTTTTGTATTTCACTTGAAAATAAGGAAGTGTTAATTTGGATATTAAAAACCATCAAAATTTGACAGTTTTTGTCCTTTGATGTAGTAACCAGTTTACTTGAACCAGTCTCCCCACAAAAATATCCTTAAGACAAGTACGACTGGTTGGTTGGGTGTTATGTACAGGTGAATATCAAAAGTTAGAACTGTAGTAGATTTAATTTGTCTAATTAGACAATAAAAACAAGCTGTCAGAGAACAATTTAAATATTTTATCATGCTCTGTCTTCTCCCTTAGGTCGTACATGTCTTGTTGGACATATTGTTTTGGCTGATCTGCAGATATCAGTATGATATTCATCAGGATTTATCCCAAGATACTGCATTTTTATTGTCCTAAATTTCTCAAATATCACACTTGCACATCCCAAAAGGCAAAAATTATTGTACTAAAGAAACTTGACAATTTTATCAGAAAAGTCCATGTAATCAAAAATCAATTGCGAAATTCTGACAGTTTTTATGAGTGATTTTATCATTATTACTCAGTGATAGAAATTCAACTTATTGTACTAAAGAAACTTGACAATTTTATCAGAAAAGTCCATGTAATCAAAAATCAATTGCGAAATTCTGACAGTTTTTATGAGTGATTTTATCATTATTACTCAGTGATAGAAATTCCCTAGAACTTCTTCTTCTTATGTATGAGATCCTAAAAAATGAAAGAAATGAAAAAATGTTTGAAACTAATTGAAAGAGTACAAGATCAAATTGATATCCAGTAAAAGGCTTTTTTAAAAAGCATTTAAATTTTCAATTTAGATGCAAAATTTTCATTTAATGAAAAATTTGCTGGTTCATGGGTCTCAATTTTAACTTAAATGATTAATATGTCAACAAATATATATTGTTTTGATTTTATTGGGTTGTCCACTATGCAAACTCTAAACATGGATTACAATACATTCTTATTTCTTACAGCTTTAGATCTTCATTAAATATAAATTTTTTTGTTGCCTTGTGTGGATTGTACAATGTATCTCTTAAAACGGACAAAAATAAAATTTGGCCAAAAAAAATAATTAAATGAAAAGGGAATTTCATGGATTGAGATAAAACTTTTTTCCAATTTTGTCCCCAAGGCGATTGAGGTAATCAAATAATTATAAAGGTGAAGAAATGTCCAAAGTGGTCACACCTCTCACAGTGGAGATTACATAAACTTAAGTGGCTTTTTGTAAGGCTTTCACTTCTATTTTCTGCCTCATTGGAAAAAAATTACATCCCTTTAATTGTGTAACTAATGAAGCCCTTAAAACTTTATTTTTCTTATGTGGGGAAAAGGATTCAGGATTCTTGTTTCCTCTTTTTCTTGTACAGATAAAAACTATTACTTGAGATATAGATCACATTGTTCAATAGTTCTAGAATTTACATTTCTTCTTTGAAATAGATATTTCCTGTGATCCAGACTAAAAATACAAAATTTTCTGAAGATGATCCTGTGTAGTCAAAAATAAACATCCTGAAACACTTGTCAGATTTCCTGTATTTCAGTCATCATAATACACAAACAAATGTTCAAAACATCAAATGTGATTGGTTGTTTATTCTTATTTTCAAATAGTATACAATAATTATATAAAGAATATATTCTGCTTTAGTTAGCTAAAAATACATAAATTTCAAAGATCTCATTACCTAATCTATCACTTCTGCACAAAAATTTAGAACTAACAAGTTTAATGCCTTATCCCTTCCAGGCAAGTTTCAATTATTTTCTTTAAAAATGGTTTTGAATGTAATTACAACGAAGGTCTACTTTTCATGTTTAAATCTTAACTATAAATGTTTTACCTGATTCTGAAGAATCAAGTCGATCAGGCGTTGGTTGGCATTGTGTGGGTGGTGTATCGATGCTGGATAAAGACAACTTTCTTCTTGGTGTTCCTCCTCTGGAGATGAAAATAAATGGTTATTAAAGAAATAGTTGTATATTCAAACACAAACCAGATTACATATAACAACAAGCATTTTCAAATTCATATATACCATATATCAACCAGCAAATGTTACATATTACAGTTGATTATGCAACAGGGAATTCTATTTAATTTAATTTAACAGTAGTATAACATGAAAGAACCTCTGTTTACATATGCCATAAAAAACAAAACTTCAATCAAAAATACAATTTTCATAAATCAACATATTGACAAATGAGTAAAGTCATCTTGCATCATAAATACTGTAAGATTATGTTTTGACTTGAGGGGGCAAAAGGTTTTCCAAAGTCCATTTAAATTAATACTTCCCAATGATTGTACACCCTATGGGAACATAAAATGCAACATATATTTTGTTCTGTGACAGTTAACATAAATTTTATCAATAGTAACAGAAATACCAAGTATCTACCTTTCAGTTTTAATAATGCAATATTTTACTTTTATTTGGTCATTTTCATACGGAAAACTTATAGGTCTTGTAAATTTATTATGGGTTTACCTTTAATATTACTATTTATTAATTTTAGTCTTGGCAAAAATTTCAAGAACATATATAAGTTTTTCTTAAAGAGATAGCAACAGTGTATTATGTATATGTCTTCCAGACCAGGACTGCTTTATTATAAAATTATTCCTCTCACATAGCTCTATTTATGAAAATACATTTACATGATACGTATGATGATACTTTTTTTTATAAATCTTTATCTTTTCAACATGAAAGACATTTCTTGAGTAATGATTATACCGAAATTTTATGTAAATTCCTTTATATACATTTTACAGTTACAAAAGATGCACAATCATGAGGTTTAGTTAAAAGTCTACAATTTAAGCTTATGAAACACTTATCGGCTATATTACCTTGATATGGATATAAAAATCACCCTTCAATATTTTTTTAATGAAATTTCAGTTTCTGCATCAAAACTTAAAAGTAAAATGTAAAACTTTACTAAGTAAAGAAACATAGTTGAATATATATTTCAAATATAAATTAGTTAGAAAATGAGATAGTTATAATAATAAAGTTGTGAAGGGAGAACATATACATTTGTACATAAATCCAATTTGGCATTCTTTTTTTTTATCATTATAACACTAATCCATCTGCGGAACCGTAGCTATTTGTATAGGTACCGATGATATTTTTTGACGGTCCACAAATGTAAGAGCTAGGTTTTCCACAGCTACGCTACATGAAACACTAATCCTGGTATCATCATTAGATAGATGATTTCTGGATTTCTGGATTTATACCCAGGCCAGTCAATATTCTTTTGAAATATAACTTTTTTGATGTCTGTCTTATTTGTATTAACCTTTCTGATAATACACAGCAAAAAGCTATTGATATTAATTATATAAAAAAAAAACTATGTCAATGGAAAGAACAAGTGATTAATATTATTATTAAGGAATCTATTATAACACGTATTTATATGCTGAAACTGTTCTTACCTCCCTGTATGTAGTTCGCTCAGATTCTGGGCAAGATTGGTGACTGGTGAATTCATTTTTGATGGTGCAATATTAAGTGCATTCAGAAAACTTAAATTATTGCTAAGATTTTTCAATGGTAAACGCAATCGTGGAGGCTTCTTTGAAATGCTACTTTTAGACATCTTCCAAAATCAAGGTATGAAAATCTAAATGAAAATGAAATGAGGGTGGTGATGATGGTGATGATGATGATAACGCTGACAAGGAACTGTACATCCAGATATGAAGTTTTTGTCCCTCAAATTTCTACCAGTGCACTTATCTTCCGTCCTACTGCTAAATCATAAATGGAATACACAATGACACTGCCACAAAGCAACCGCAAGAGTTTATCATGAACTGTTTGCCATTTTTACTTGTTCCACTCATAAAATGAATAAAAATGCGTCTACTATCTTGTACTATTCATTCATCTCTATAACAGTACCAATACACTTTTCACATAGTATATTTTTGTAGATCAGATGTTCTTCAGCTGTTCTGTGTCTAAGAAGCCGCCGTCCGTTTTGAAAAACAACACAGATCTAACCAATCAAACTTCGGGAAACGAAGCATGTACAAACAGGAAGTAGATTTGGAGGCAAGTGATGTGTATTGGGTTAAATGGACAAAAAATATTTTCTTGGTTTTCAGTTGCCCTTAAATTATAAAAATTAATGAAAACATGCACCAGAAAAATTAAAGATAATTTGTGCAAATAAAATATAACCTTATGAATATTCATAATTCTTTGTTTTGGAATGAGCGCGTGCGTAAACTAGTGGCGGGAGTTACAGCTTTGAAGAACAACAACAGACGGAAGAGAGAAAGAAGGAACGTTACAGAGACTTAAAAATGACAACTGAAATGAGAAAAAGAGACTTAGATGCACACAGAAGATCGAGAGATCGAAGAAATCAACACTTTTCCAGAAGGTTAAATTTGGTTTTGACAACTTTCAGCTATTACAGTAAAGGAATAGGGTGTTAACACGCCTGGTAGTGGTAAATCAAATCTCCACCAAATGGTTATTATTAAAGCGAGAAAAAAGTTTACTGGCACTTCCTGTTGAGCTTTTCTGGTACAAAATATCAAAATTTAAGATAGGGTAGGTCGACTTTTCATCAATTAATTGTCAATCTGTAAATATTTTTTTTGAATAGGACTAGGACTAGGAGAAATTATTATGTCATGCCATAGATATTAAACTGAACGAGAGCTTGTCTCGTTCATTAGACATTACTCAGACCATTGACATTGTAAATTAAAATGACATCAGAATGACTTTTCTCCATCTGGTAAGTGCGGCCAGCTCAGTGAGTTTTTGACAAAATCACAATGAGTTAATCAATATGTAACGTATATATCAGTATATATGGTCAGACCGTCAGATCATATGTTTTCGTACGTCATATGAATTCATACTATGCATGCTTTTACAATGGAAATTGTGACGTCACAATGCATTCTTAATAGCATGAAAACCCATGAGACGAGGATAAGTTTCTTCTTTGTCACTTTAAACGTATAATAACAGGTTTTTTTTTATTTCTTAACGAATATAATTTTATTTAGCTGAATATGTTTTAAAGTATGTCAGGTTGAGATTGTCTGGTATCTGTAATTTTAAATTATATTGGTCCGAGTAATGAATGAGACAAACTCTCATTTAGTTATCTATGGCATGACATTCTCCTATTTAACAAAATATTTACAGATTGACAATAAATTGATGAAAAGTGGACCTACCCTATATATATTTTTGATATTTGTACTAGAAAAGCTCAATAGGACGTGCTAGTAAACCTTTTTCTCCCTTAACCATTTGGTTGAGATCTGATGGTTTACCAGGCATGGTTAAAGAGTTTTAGCTCAACTTTGAGGTTAAGAGATTAAAGGATTTTTTGATAAAGTGTGAAAGAACAGTCAACACATGAGCTCATAAGAACTTACTGCTGATTATATAATGTACATAACAAAATATGCGATATAATTTTGGTTTCGAACCTCGAGAGTTTATAATTCATTTGCTACAATACTTTTGTTATATAATCTTTATATGACCATATGTCAGCACACCAAGAGGGGATGAATGATAGGGACGAGCTGTCAAGCTTGGTGATAAATGAAGAGTTCAAGAAATTAAGATGAAATATATGATAAGGTTGAGAGCATTGATTAAATCCCAAGTAACTGAAACTAATCAATTTTGATATATTTCAATTTTTGACAGATGTTCTGAAAACCTTAATACATATCATAATGTGTTCTCATTCTGATATGCATGTAATATTTGCCTGTTGACATTAAATACTAATTCTTCAGCATCATCCAAATGGTTCTTTCGGTTTGTTTTTTAATTACAAGTTTGTTTTCCTTCTGTGAACAACCCATTCTAAAAATTGATGGCAATAGACCATTTTCGAGTTCGTTGCATTTGGTTTTAATGAACATCTTCTTCCCATGTTGAACAAGTGGTGCAAAAAATATTATGCTATATTGTATAAATTATTTGGCAAATTAAATTCTTATAATTGATAATCAGCACAGCTGTCATTTGGGAATTGTAATTAAGTACTATGGAACAAACATTTTTTCTAGTATATCTGCATAATGACGATCACGAAGATGCTTGAAAAACTTTTAATAGTGCAGGGATACAGGTGGTCCCCTCTATCTGGTAAATGACGTCATAAAGGCACACATAATTAAAGAACTTTTCCGGTGAAGGACACAACTTGAAAGTGGTCAATTGAGCGAATATATTTTATTTTGTTTCATTATATAATATATTTTGATTGATTTTTATTTCGTTTCGTTTTTAAAGCAATTGCTTTAATGCCATCGCGTATGGCCATCTTTGTGACGCAAATCAGAGACTCCGCCCAGATCAAGCCATAGTATTTTGTTAAACAGGCTCCTGGTCTGTCATTCTTAAACAACTATGTATGTTTTCTAATGCAATACATAGCTTGAAACTTTTGAAAAACGTTAGTGGATTTAAGAGGTTTCAGCATATGTTCTTGTAGATGTATTTTTGTATTTAGGGGGACAACCGTTTGACTAACAAAAAACATAGAAGTCCGAGTGAAAAAAAGTGCATTTTTATACCTGCGATTCCGTTCTCTTTTCGTACGATGTTTCAACAAAATATGGAATCATTTCAGTTGTTGATTTAGTATTGAAAATTTTGCTGAATTATCTCTTATTAAATACGGTTTTATATGTTTAATTGGTGTTTCTCTAAGAAAGAGGCCAGGTGCTCTTGTTCATTCATAAAATTATCGTTCATTCATAAATTTATCGTAAAATCAAAATCACTACACAGGTTATACGTAGTGTCAAATGATTACCTGTAATCTAAAAATAGACAAACTTAACTGACCTATTTTGTTGATTTGTTTGCGCAAATAATTTAGCGGAACGAAACCCTTTTTTAAAACACATAACAATAAGTTCATTTTCCTTTTTTGTCATAAATCCGTAAGATTTATTGATCACCTTATTAATGAAATGGACCAGTCAAAACGTGGTAGATGCCAAGTCCAGATGAAGAGATATTTACAATTTGGGATTTTCTAGTTTCATAGATTCATAGATTGAAAAAAAGTACGTCGTGTTGGATATCTTCGGGATTCTTGAGAATTATAGTTATCTCGTACCGCATGAGGATGACACATATCAACTGAGCAATAATGTTTGGGACTTAGTTGTAAGAAATGAAGACAAAGTAACATTATGAAAATATTTTTAGTAAGCTGAAATATATATTTATTTTTTACATGTTTATGTCTTGTATTAAAGATATTTTATTTATTTCCTGTTTTTCAACATTTGCGTCTGGAAAGTTGAAATGTTTTAATTGAATGGTTAAATTTAAATTAATTATGATAATTGTTAAAATTAAATCAATAAAGGAAATTATTGCCCAGTTACAAACACTACCAGGGGATAATTTCTTTTTGAGTTATATGTTTCAACACATGTAAATTTGACCCCAACTTTAGCCTGGTAAACGTGTTGTCTTCTTGTGAAATATAAAACAAATGACTTTCTGCTAAAGTCTTTTATTGATATAAAGTTAAAACCTTCTTACTTCTCACTAGACAACACTCCTGTCAGGTTTAATTCTTATATATATGTGGATGAAAAATAAAAGTCCCCAAAACATTAACATGGCAGCAATTGCTTTTACAGCCTTTAAGGCTTTGATTGTTTTCATTTTTGTTGATTTCGTTTTGTTTTGTATTGTTCTGTTTCTTTCATTTTGTTTCTTTCGCCCGGATAACTTGTACTCGTAGACCATGAAGTGTTTGGAAACAGGAATTGCATAACTTCAAGCTTTCTGATAAAATAAACTTTCTTTAAAATATAAATTGAACCATGTGAACCAACTTATGGTCTGGAAACAGTCATATTTTGCAGACATGAAGAATTGTGAAATGCAAAAGAACGAAATGGTATTGGATTTCCGTCCAGAAAGAAAAACTGTTTAAGAAGTTAATTTGGTCATTTCAATTTCATTGAAATCAAAAGTATTTATTGCCATGTTGCATTAATTTTCTTTTGCAATGCTTTTCAAGTAATAATACTGCCACTTGGTATTGTTTAATGATCCACAGGCCCCCTCAAATAACGGTTTAAATAATGCCCTTTTACCTGTGTTTATACCAAAAAGGAGTCTGTATATATATATTAAGTTCAGATGATTTCTTCATGTTCTGCACTACTTATTAACTTCAGCAAAGGTTATCAACAATTCTGATATGAAAATTAGAACTATGACTATGAAGAAAAAGTGTTTTTGGTCTTGCTTGTAACAGAAGTCACGGAACGCGAGACATAAGGGTTGCTTCTCCAGCGACGATGATGATGATGGCGTCAACAATTGTTAAGTTTTCTGCACAAGTTAGTTTGATAGGAACTACTGTAATAGATCATTGATATTTAATATAAAGTTGCATTACTATCAGTACATATCAGTTTGACGCCTTTTTTTAGGCCCTGCCCCCTAGGTCATGAATTATATAGCAATTTTCAATGTTAAGTTTTCTGCTTAAGTTAGTATGTTAGGATCAACTTGTAATAGATCAATGATATTTTGTATGAAGTCACATTACTATTGGTACATATAGTTTGACGACTATTTTCAGGCTCTGCCCCCTAGGACATGGTCCAGTGATTTTGAATTAATTAGCAATTTTCAATGTTAAGTTTTCTGCTTAAGTTAGATTGATAGGAACTGCTTACAATAGACAACAATATTTTCTATAAAGTTACATTATTGTCTGTACATCTCAGTTTGTCAACCATTTTCAGGCCCTGCCCGCTAGATTATGGTCCAGCAACTGAATTAATAAGCAATGTTGCTGTCCATCAGATTGTCTTTTTCTGATTTATGACGACAGGCGATATATATCTCTGTGTCAACAGTTTATTTAATAAATGTACTTTATTAAACTATGCAATACACATGCATGCAAGTATCCTCCTTTTACAAGATTAGATGCTTAACATTTAGTGATGCATTTGGGGCTGTTTCTAATTTGGGTGTGATTGTTCATCAAGGAGACAACCATATTGTGAACACTTTTAATGAATTAATAGCAAAAAATGGTTTTATCACTGTGTGTTGCCATAGGCTCATAGTAGCTTAGCTAAGTTTTATACTATGTTTTGAGAAAGGTAGTATCCTGAACTTTACTTCTAGCTATGACTCATGCTGGGGACTGTCCATTTGGTATTTAGAAATTGATTGATTGTTATGCTTTATAACTTCCATTAGCAATTATTTCGGTCATAACCAGAAAGAAAACAAGACCCATGCTGATGTTGGCTTTTGTTTATTTTGGGTGTATAAATATGCAAACATGATTGATTAATTGTTATTAAGCTTAATGTTTAGTGGCAATTATTTCATGCATATTCAGGAAAGGAACAGAACCCATGAGGGGAATTCTGGTCTGTTTAGCAGTGTTCAAACAATTGGGATAATTTTGTTAATTTGAATGGGGGCAAGTTGAACTTGTCTGATATATATTTAGCCTTTTATTTTCAGCTTGCAGAAACTGATTGATTGGGAGATTTGTTTCAATAGTTTATTTTTAAAAAAAATGGTATATTATTGTTACATCTTACCAGGTACATGGAATTATTCACCATTTTGCATTTCCTTTTTTAGGGAAGAAAAGTCTTCTGGACCACTTAGCCCTCTGAGAAGTCCTATGAATAGAAAAATACAGTCAGATATTAACTGTGAAAAGAACAGGTAACAAACAGTGACTCGATGAAGTTATCCTTAAAAATCTGAAAACTTGAAAGCCCATAAATTTATACAATCCACACTGAAGACCAATATTAGATTCAGTACACACCACAAGTGGGAGATTATGTATAAAATTTGGATATTCAGAAATCTCTAGCTTTAGAAATTTTTATAAAAAATTTCAAAATTACTTTCATTCACGATCTTTCTGAATTTCTATGGTTTTAAAAAGTGTTCTCTTTATTTTTTTTTATATTATTCAGTTATTTGTTTCAAACTGAATACTAGTTGTATTCCCATAGCAAAAATGGTATTTTCCCAACTCACTTTAAAGAATATTCCCAAGTATTTCTTTATTTGGAACACTGATAAATTCTGCACATTTAGAAAAAAAAATGTCAATTTAACAAAAACTAATAGGGGGAAAAACGATCATGGTATTACACCTTTATTGACTTACCAATAAGTGGTGTAATACTGATGCCTGCCTTTTTTTAATTTCCTGATTTACAAATTTGGTGGATCAGAAGGGGCATTGATAGGATTTTTAGTGTTTTAATGATGGCAAGAAAAGAAAAAGGTAGCACAATAAACTCAAAATAACTGTAGGAAAACAATGTAATACTCTATGGTCAGGTAGTAAGATGCAAGCTAGATCGAACATTACCTGTAGGAAAACAATGTAATCCTCTATGGTCAGGTAGTAAGATGCAAGCTAGATCGAACATTACCTGTAGTAAAACAATGTAATTCTCTATGTTCAGGTAGTAAGATGCAAGCTAGATTGAACTTTACCTGTAGTAAAACAATGTAGTCCTCTATGGTCAGGTAGTAAGATGCAAGCTAGATCGAACATTACCTGTAGTAAAACAATGTAATCCTCTATGTTCAGGTAGTAAGATGCAAGCTAGATCGAACATTACCTGCAATTGATTTTATTTTGTACATGATATACTAGGAAAACATTTAAGTTTATTTCGATACATTATTTGAAATATGAGAAATGATCAAAAGGAAAAATGAGAATTCCTCAAATTTATTTAAAAATCACTTCTGTTCTTCTGTTATTGCATAAACTGACATAGGTTGGATGTTTATAGTCAATCAAAGTAGAATCATGATGTGTTAGTCTTATTCAGTAGATAGCATATTCACTCTTTTGCAATGGAATGGTTTGTTGAAGAAATGTATTATTTATTTTACAAAAAAATATGTTGATATTTTACAGGGATAGAAGAGGATGTTGGAAGCAACTGGGTCTTACTGATGAGTTTATGGATGATGAAAATGAGTACCCAGAATTACAGTGTTCAAAGTAAATACCTTTTATTGTTCACTTATGAAAGTTAGGTTAGAAAGTATTAATTTGTGTTTATGCCAGATATTTGACACTGCTGTGGTGAGGTAAAACATTCTTTATAATGATCACTGCATGACAAAAGGACCTTCACAAGTTTTGAGGAATTTTTATCTGTTTTTCGGTGAGATTAGGGGAAAATTTGGATTCCAAAAATGTGTGCTTTTATTATCTGAGTATCTCTTTTAATTCCAGAAGTTTTAAGTCATGTATGTTACTGTTAAAACATATTTCTAATATTGAAAAGAGAGAAAAATATTTTATATACACACACGATAAAAAGGTTCCAAGTTCAGGTTAGTTCTCTCTACTTTAGGTCATTCAGGATCATCAACACTGTGAAAGATAATTTCATCCCCCTTCCCCAATGGTCCCTTACTAAATAATGCTGGGTCAACATCATACAATGCATGCAGTTGAAGAAGCTACATTTTATCAACATGATCAAGATATCAATAATCTCTGTTTTTGTTTTCTAAAATTACTTTTTTAATTTGTAAAGTAAAAATACATTATTCAAATTCAAAAAGTGAAATCAAATGAACAAGTTCTTGTGAGCTTTGTACAAAATTTGAGTAAACTATTAATATATAACAAAGACAAACATTTTTTTGGAGTCAGTTTATTCTGCAAGAAAGAAAAGATAAGATTTCTCACCCACCTGAAAACCTGATAACCACAGAGGCATTTTTCCAAAACATGTTCTTATGAAACATTTTTTGGTTTATTAAAAACTTTATCATATCAAATTTTTATCAAATTTTCATTGTAATGTTTTTTGTAGCTTGCATTCTTAAAAATTCGTAAGGGTTCCGCGGAACCGAGTGTCTCGATTACTTTTGCTGTTAATCACAGGCTCAACAAAAATGAGGAAAAAAATCAATAAAAATATTCCTTTAGATACTATCTTTTGATTGTAAGAAGCTTCTGTCAAAGTTTGGTATAAATCCAGGATAGTTTATGAATCTAATAAATGTTTTAAAAACTTTAACTGCAGACTGTATTTAATGTTAACTGGAAGAAAAACTAAGTCCATTTATAAGTAAAATACGGATAAACAGGTACAAATTTTAACAAAATTTCCTTCTAGATACTACCTTATGATCATAAACAAGCTTCTGTCCAAGTTTGGTACAAATCCAGGATAGTTTAAGAAAGTTATTAAAATTTTAAAAACTTTTAACCACAGTGAATGTAATGTTTCCTGGCAGAAAAACTAAGTCCATTTACAAGTAAAATACGGAAAAACAGGAATTTTATTTTTACAAAATTTACTTCTGGATACTATCTTATGATCATAAACAAGCTTCTGTCCAAGTTTGGTAGAAATCCAGGATAGTTTAAGAAAGTTATTAAAATTTCAAAAACTTTAACCACAGAGTGAATATTTGTAGACGCCGACGGAATGTAGGATCACTATGTCTCGCTTTTTCGACTAAAGTCGAAGGCTCGACAAAAATCAGTTGTTGAAAGATAAAAACAGATGATTCTATGAAAAACACATTAGAAGTGAAAATAATAATGATATTATTATTATGTAGGTTTATGCCAGAATCTTTCACAAAACTATCCAATGGACTTAATATGAGTTGGGCAGAGCAAGTTGAATTGGAACAAGAAAACTCAAGGTTTGTATCTAAAATTTAAGTTTTTCATTCTTGAAATAGATTACAATCTTTGAAATAAACTGTAAAGCCAGTGTATCTGTGGTCAAATTACCCTTCCCCCCCCCCCCCCCCCCAAAAAAAAAAAACTGACATTTAAAATGCTTATTTTGGTTTTTGGGAGATTTTACTAATTTGCATTACATTATCAAATAACATGATTATATCAGAAAGCAGTTTATTATATTTTCTTAAATCAATGCTGCCAATTCACTATCCAAACAAGTACAAGTACTAACCCATGTCTTGTGAATCCTCAAAAGTCTTGTACAACAAAGAGTTCACTTTAATGTAAATAATAAGACAGCTAGTAGATTGAATTTTGTTTCTCTTCATCACTTAAAGGGACATTAGCTGTCAAATTCATCTTCACCAATTTGACTCAAATTCTCATATTTGATTTATAACATACTAAAACTAAAAAGCTCTCAAGAGCTTATGTTCGTACTGTTATATGAACTGAATCAAAATAAAGACTCGTAAAGCTATATCCAAATTACAAAAAGTCTAAAATAAAAAATTAATGCATGGACTCGATAATATGTATCAGTATTTCGTCGGTATTATTGTCTAGACGCCATCTAGTTAACTATCGAGAAAACCTCCCAAGAACTGCTGATATTCATATAACCTAATACAAACTTAAATATAAATAGATATGGAGCACTTTAATGGGATTTTTCTAGGTCTATTTGATTTCATGTTGTAGGTTAAAAAAATATGTTAATCATAGTTTTTACCTGTATAAGGCCAGGGTTTTTTAATTTGTTGGTTTACAGATTTTTATGTGAAACAGTCTGGTTGGTCAGTCAGAAAAAAAAATGGAAAAATATCTTACAAAACATAAATATGTATTTAAAAAAAATATTTCAACTTACTAACAATATTTTTGGAATGCTATTTTGTCATCATTTCTTAAATTTTAAATCCAAATATTAATTATCTGCTGTTTCAAACAGACAATGTATACCATCCTTCATATAATTTTGTAATAAGGGGTATATGCCCACGGACAAACAAAAAAATAAATGGTCATTTCACTAACAAGAAAAAACAGCTACATGTTGCTTTTTATCAACTTTCAGGAAACATGGTGAATAATGAGCTTCAAGAACGAAAACACATGAAAAAGAAATTGCAAACGATTAAAATAAATGGACGAACATTTTTTTTTCAGTCTATTAAACAAGAAATTTCCAAATTGTTTGTGAATATCTCTTACTTTTAACTTGACGTCTTTCCATTTGGACAGGTCCATTTCATCTATGATATGAAAAATCTATAATCAAAATTTTTGCAAAAAAGGAAAAAAAACTTATTGAAACAGGTTTTTATGCCCCCGCCACTTGGCGAAGGGGGCATTAAGTGTTACCCTTGTCCATCCTGTCCGTCGCGTACGTCCCCATTCTCTAACATTAGTTTGCCTCAACCAAATGTTTTAAAACTTATAAACAATGCTTATTACCACAATACACAGATCAAGTTCGAAATTGGGTGGCGTCACTTTTATCGTTCATGAGTTATGCCCCTTTATAAACATAAAAATTGCTGATTTTTTTTCGTTTCTGTTTTCTTACTTTAGTTTACCTCAACCAAATGTTATGAAACTTATACACAATGCTTATTACCATAAAACACAGATCAAGTTTGAAATTGGGTGGGGTCACTTTACTGTTCTTGTGTTATGCCCCTTTATAAATGGAAAAATTGCTAGATCTGTTGTTTCTGTTCTCTAACTTTATTTTGCCTTTAGTTTACCTCAACCAAATGTTATAAAACTTATACATAATGCTTATTAACACAAAACACAGATCAAGTTCAAAATTGGGTGGCATCACTTTTATTCTTTGATATGTAGAATAGTACTTAAATCTACAGCTTTTTTAATTTCAAATTTAAGTGTCAGAAATAAGAAAATAAACTTTAATGCAAATTTTATGCATTTCATGGGTCGTAATAGGAATATGTTTTTGCCGATCAATTATCTTAAACCAAAAATGGCAGTGAAAAATCCAGCATGGTATGTTATTATGTTGGACCTCATTGAACCAAACAATGTAAATGACACACAGGGTATACATGTGGGAGCAGATTAGTACCCCTTAAAAACACTGTGAACAAATGCTAAGCAGCGGTTGATTATGATTTTTCGAGGGGTAATACTCTGCCATTGCACCCTCTTTATTTAATATACAGATGTGCTTTGATGTTTGACAGTTTGTGATCTTGAAGAGTCTGTGGTTCTGACAATATTAAAATTCCAGGTTTTGAGAAGAGTGAGAATGTGAAATCTTTGTAAGACATAATTTTTTTCCTTGTATAAATTGTTATGGGACCAGCTAGAGAAAATATAAATGAATAAAAGTAGACATGGTGCCGGGGCAGATTCATTTATAAATAAACATGAATCATACACCATGTCTGCCTACTGGGGAAAGCTTCTTTTCCTCTTTCTCGTTACACCGTTGTCTGCCCCCTTGCCGTCATTAACTCAAAAGATTTAAAGCATTAACAGTCGTTTAGTTGCGTCCTTGAGCACAATTCTGTAAAACAATCGTAAGAGTTTTTTTACAACAAAAGGTGGATTGATTTTAGCAGTAAATTGAACTCATTTTACTCTAAAACTGTGTAATTATTGTTAATGTCTGATGCATTTAATTTCTTTTTTCTCTCTGAAAATCTGAAAAATGGGATCAGCAGATCGTAAACCAACAAACTGAAAAACCTGGCCTAAGACTAATTTTTTGTGGAATGAATCAGTCTAGGAAATGGTTCACTTTTGTTTCACTGTCAATGTTGACGTTCTTTTCCTTTTGATAGCTGACGGAACAAGCCTTGTACATGCATAACCAATCTTCAGCTAAGGGGTTTAACAGATGGTAAAATGAATACAGATTAAAAGAGGTTGAATTATTGATTTGCAAGTCAAAAATACATCAGCGATGTTTTTGAGTTTATTTTGTCAAATTTGGGTTAAACTGACTGCTTATAACGAAATACTATTTCAAAATTACGCTTTATTAATGCTTGAAACAAAAAGAATCATATTTTAATTTTTTGTCTAAATTGTAGCTTATGCCCATTTCACTTTATTAAAGCTGTAAAAATTTGAAAAACTTTTTATTTTGATAACTTTTAACTACTTATAATACTTTAAAAAGTTCCGAGTTCATAGGATATATGAACAAACTCTTCATGCTGTCCACATCTAAGGTCTTTGAATATACCTTGGTGGCTTTAAAATTCTCCCCATTGACCTCATAGTTTGTTTACATTCTAAATGGGGAAGGGGATGCAATTTTAGAGCAGGTAGACCTGGAAAATTGATACCGTATAGCGGGTTATTTTCGCGGGTTTAAAACTTCGCGATTAAGGGTCAACAAAGTATATGAAAAAGTTTGGCGGTTTTTATTTTGGTGGATTCTTAAATCCCCAATTAAATATTTTGGCGGATACTGAAATTGTTGCAGTTAAAAAGTTGTAAAACTTGATAAACAAGTGTCTATTGTTATGGTAAAATGATTTGGTTTTACCTGAATGACGTCGTATTTGTTGATTATATTCTGATACAGTTAATAAAATACCGATGACTTAGATATTTGTTACAGGTATTCAAACGTCTTGTAAATTTTACAGTTGATTAGTTACGAAATTGACCGGACCTTTGATGTACTTACTAATTAGGTTACAAAATTATCATGAGTTATAGTTTGACACTAATTATACCCCACGCAACGAGTTGCGGAGGGTATAATGTTTTTGACCCGTCCGTCAGTCCGTCAGTCCTGTTTCTTGTCATCGCAACTCCTCTCAAACCACACAACAGAATTTCACGAAACCTTTTTAGATATTAAGGACATACTATGTAGTTGTGCATATCGACAGGAAATTACGATTCAATTTTTTTTCCAGGAGTTACGCCCCTTTGAACTTATTTGCCCAATATACTACTGCAACAGTTTGTCATCGCAACTCCTCTGAAACCACGCAACAGAATTTCATGAAACCTTTTCAGATAATAAGGACATACTACGTAGATGTGCATATCGACAGGAAATTACGATTCAATTTTTTTTTTCAGGAGTTACGCCCCTTTGAACTTATTTGCCCAATATACTACTGCAACCTTTTGTCATCGCAACTCCTCTCAAACCACACAACAGAATTTCACGAAACCTTTTTAGATAATAAGGACATACTATGTAGTTGTGCATATCGACATGAAATTACGATTCAATTTTTTTTTCTAGGAGTTACGCCCCTTTGAACTTATTTACTTTAATGTACTACTGCAACAGTTTGTCATCTCAACTCCTCTGAAACCACACAACAAAATTTCATGAAACTTTGTAGATAATAAGGACATACTATGTAGATGTGCATATCGACAGGAAATTACGATTCAATTTTTTTTCTAGGAGTTACGCCCCTTTGAACTTATTTGCTTCAATATACCTCTGCAACAGTTTGTCATCGCAACTCCTCTGAAACCACACAATAGAATTTGATGAAACTTTGTAGATAATAAGGACATACTAGGTAGATGTGCATATCGACAGGAAATTATGATTCAATTTTTTTTCTAGGAGTTACGCCCCTTTGAACTTATTTGCTTCAATATACCTCTGCAACAGTTTGTCATCGCAACTCCTCTGAAACCACAAAACAGAATTTCATGAAGCTTTGTAGATAATAAGGACATACTATGTAGATGTGCATATCGACAGGAAATTATGATTCAATTTTTTTTTCTTATACAATTTTTTTTTCTTACATTTATTTTATTTCTCCAGTGACAATGTGGGGACGTGGGGTATGTGAGCGCGCTCACTAAGGTTCTTTAATTAATTAGGGTAATTATCTGATAAGAGTTCCTTACACTCTTATTCTAATTGACACTTATTAATAAGGGTATACACACCCGACAGTCATTTTATAAAATACATGTACGTACAATGCCCTTT